TGCTCTGATGCGATCTACCTGCTCACACTGTACGTCTAAAAACCAGGTAGGACACAGCTCCACAGTGAGATGGAGCTACTCTGACTCGTCTATCCGAAAGCCAGACAAGTAGAAGAGAAACATGAAGCCCACTAGAACCGCGCTTCCTTGGCAATTTATGCAATTTTGTGCTGAAAGCCCTAAAAAGAAAAGGTGACGACGTATTTGGACAAAGACGTGGTTGAGCAAACGGGGCACCTACGGTCTGTCAATTGTACAGAAAGAATTCCATTTTACTCACACCCCTAGCCTGACGTAGTCCTACTCATTTCTAGTCAGAATATGAGTCTGATGCTGCTCCATAGAGCTGTGATTATGGGGCGTGTTTTGAACGAACCAGGAAAAAAAATGCCTCTGCACTCAATTGGATAGACCTACAACCAATAAGAGCAACGGAGTGCGTGACGTATGTTAAGAGACGCATAGTTGTTGTCAACAAAAATCAAAGCGTGCAGTTGCACGCCTAGAATAAGAAGATGAGCCTTGATCGCGTTTCTCTGTTCCTCTTTTAAAATGAATTTGCTGTCGATATCTTCTAGAACAGACCTAATAGCAGAATCTACACACCTCAACTCTCCAGCGGCAGCCATTGTTGTTGTCACCCAAGCGCGCTTTGGTAACGTGGTTGATTACGTTACTGTTGATCATCTGTCCATCATCGTATAAAGCCCGCCCTGACAATTTGATTGGCCCGCCAGATATTGTGCGAGCATACTTGCGCTACTATTGAGCAATGCCAGACCGAACTTCCCGACCTCAAACGTTGTGGGCGGGACTAAGTTCGGAATGGCACCCAGGCTATCACACCCCGCCATGCTTCTGTGTTTTTGTCTCAGAGGAAAAAGACGAATCCTTTGTTGCTCACTGAGCGATTTGCCCAGGACTCGACCGAAAATCAAACCTTACGATTCCTGATCAGGAGGTGATAGTGAGAGGCTGATCGCCCCTCGTTACCCCCTGTACACTACAGGACGCACCATCAGGCTGAAAGTCGGCCCGATCGGAAAATTATCGCAAGACTGGAAAGTCGCCCCCAAAAGGGAAAAAAAAACTGTGGCATAACAGCTGATTGTTCCTAGATTTAAACTGTTTTTTTGGCCAGTGAGATAGGGGTACGATTGGAATCATACACCTCATGACTGGATGCTTTGCTGAGCCTCTTCTATAGGATGAAAAATTTGAGTTTAACACCTTTAACACTTAAAACAATTGGTTAAAAACTGAGTCATCAACAGGGACTCAAAGTTTTTCAAGTTAAGACAAGTTAAGTCAGGATTGTGAAAGTGACTTGTTGTTCAAATCAGTAAAGTTCACATGGGTGTGCCCTACACAAAGTGAGAGGTTGGTCCTCCTCTTGTACTTAAGGCGTTCCTGGAAGCGTGCTAACAATAGCCCGCCTTGCTATCACAACGCCAATCTATATTCTATCAAAAAGGCGATTCCAACTACAGGGATTGACCTGCAGGATGTTGGTGAGAGTGGATGCTTGTTTAAGTTTTACCTTTTTGTGTAAGAGACAAAAAAACAATAGTATAGGGACCATGGCTAACTGCTTATGTTGCTAATGCTACATACACGTCAACCTATGCAAAATAAATTCTTGTGTGTACACTTTAGAGAACAAAAGGTACAAAAAGGGGTCTGTTTGAGCTTTATTTTCTTTCCTTCTTAAACTGCTCATTTATGCATTTCAGATGGATTTTATATGCAAAATACCAGATAACTCTTTTGAAAAATATTTTCTACTATAATGATTCATCTATGGACTTATTATGATAAAAGCTTTGCTGCTGGAGGAGATATATAAGGACCTGGCAGATGTCCCCACGAGGACGGTGGTGGGGACCCAGTACTTTTTGCTACCAAATGCCCTACCAGGTGGCTTTGAAATTTATACTGTATATAGATGGCAAAAAACAGCAAAGAAATATAATTTATCCATCCGTCTGTTTAAATCAAAACCCAACAAGTAACATGAGAAGTAAGTTGAATCTGCCAAAAGTAATGAGAAATAAAAGTAAAAAAATTCTGACAGGGTTTGGTTGAGGTTTTGAGGACCCAAATGCAGAGGCTAGGAGGCGGAGGTGAGTTCTTGTATTTTTAATGGAATGTTCACCAGCAACTGAGGCAGGGATCCAAAAATCCAACATGAAAATGTCATGGAAAACGAGCACAAGGAGTCAGGGAAAGACGAGGAACCAGCACTGAGGAAAGAGATAAAAGAGAGTATTTATGGCTGACTGAACAAAGAAAGGACTAACGAGCTGATTGGGAGCAGGTGTGAAGAGAGGCCAGTGAAAAGGAGACCAACACAAGAGGGAAACAAATAAACACCTAAGAACTCAAATACATCCAGAAAAACACAACAAAATAGGAATCAAACCAATAAAACCAGAAAAAAAATGAATCAACGTGAAACTGAAAACTCAAAGAAAACAGAACCAAGACCGTGACAATTTCTGTCTACAATCCCTGATAGTCTGCTTATTTTATTGTATTCTGAAGTGACTCAGAAACCTTTTGGCAGATGAAGCAAAGCAACCGCAGAGCATAACAGACCCTCCTCCATGTTTCACAGTAGGAACAATGTTTTATTTTCATAATATGCATCATTTTCATCTCATCTGTCCATATGACATTCTCACAGAAGCTTTCTGACTAGTCAACGTGTAGTTTGGTATATTCCACCATTTGACTAACCTGACTCCGCCAGATGGATTTGCTCCGCATATCCATCTGGAAACCTTCCGTTGAAGTAATTTTGGGAAGGGGCGAAAATACTGGTTAGCTGATTGGCCTATGTTGGTGATAGATGGGCCAAATAAACCAATCCTAACCCTAACCCTAACCAATCAAAAGAAGCATATGATGTACTAACAGAACGACAACGAAAACACAACCACAAGCCAGGCTACTCTTGCCGAAACCAGTCGGGAGAAGAGCAAAAACATCTTTTCCTCTGAGAAAAGCCTCCAGAGCAGTGTTTTGCTCTTCTTTCAGTGAAGAAATACTCTGTAATTCCCATAAAACTTGCTCGATAGCCACGCTAACGCTAGTTTCATCGGCTGAAGCCGCCATGTTCTTTAGACTGAACTGTCGCGCTTCTCGTTGCGTCACACCTCAACCCGCCTCAAAGCCAACGCTGATTGGACGTTCGATTGGTGAACGGCTCCAAATTTTCTTTAACGGAAAGTAGCCAGACTGATTTGCGAGTAAAACCTTGAAAGCTTGCGAGATCAGGATGGTCTCATGAGGCTACCATTTAACTGGATTTGTTTCATCAATTGTTCCTCTTTGGTCGTTTCCCATTAGGTCCCCTTTGGTTCAAACGAAGACGGCTGGTGCGTTCTGACACAAAAGAATAATATTGGCACCATAAAAAATTGTGGGCAGCGTCGTCGTGTAGTCGAAGCTGCTTGCAGATGGTCTTGTATTCTTTAACATGTTGGTGTATAATTTCCTTTCCAATCTACTGTAACCTCTCTTTATTTTGCTTCCTCTGCTCCACATTAAGATGTGGTACACACCAAACAGCACAGTGACTACCTGCAGCCCTACAGTTTATATAGGCCCTCTGACTGATTACAAGGTTGCAGACACCTGTGATGCTAATTAGTGGACACACCTTAATTCAGTGGTTCCCAAAGATTTTCTTCTGGGCCCCCCTTTGGATTACAATAAAATGTCCACGCTCCCCCATAACCCCCCGACCCCCCCCCCCCCCAAAAAAAAAAAAAAAAAAAAAAAAAAAAAAAAACCCAGATATAATAAATCTATACACATATTTTGTTTTCAAACTCCACTGAAGTTTATTTCACACTTCAGGTTGCTACAAAACAAACACCATCTTTACAGTGGAACACTTTTGTGTAACAGTATTTTTTTCATAGTTCTATACTGTAGATTAGAAGAGGATTCTTTGTTGTCTGTGTTATTTTAAACATATTTCTTTTTTTTTTTATTTGTAACAATATTTAACTTTGCTATAATCTATACATTAAAAAAGCCTCTGTGCAAAATGGAGTGAAAACATTGAACAGCTCCCTGAGAGTTTTTTCTTTGTACTTTAATCCTCCCATCTTTTCAGTGGCTGTAGTGAGCCTGCTTTTTGCTGTAGATATTCTCAAATCTGGGTTGCAGTGTCACAACTGTCCATTATGCTCAGTCAAGCAAGCGCTGTTTTTTTTTTTGTTTTTTGTTTTTTTTTTCCTTCACTCATACCGCTTCCCGCGCCCCCCCTGCAATGGCATTGCGCCCCCCCTAGGGGGCGCGCCCCACACTTTGGGAACCACTGCCTTAATTGAACATCTCCCTCTGTTCTCATTATTTTAAGTCCTTTCTAAGGGGACCATCCTTTCTGTCAAGGCCTGCTTGATTAGTTTATTATTATTTTTGTATCATTCTGTTAAAGTGTGTGTCGGGTTCATAACATTTTTGCAAAAGAAGAACTGAAATACACAATTATGGATACAATTCCTGCAGAAAGGAGAGACAGTTGAACCCCAGACTCAAACACACTGTCTCCCACTGGACCTCCTCTGCAGAGCGTTTATTAACAGAACATGACGCATGGTTACAAACAGAGTATTGTTCTGACATAACAATTGATCAGTTCATGAAGACAGAATGCTCCATCAGAATGACAAGGCAGGATGGTCTCCTGACTGGATCATGAGACAGGAGTGGAGCATCCCCTCGCACAAATGTTTTCTAAGCACACATTAATTTTATAATCATCATTGAATAAACCTAACAGCATGGTTGAAAAGCAATGTCTGACTTTAACTTATTCATCTTCATACAGTTTTTTTTTTTTTGTGTCAGATTCCAGTTTGTGAATGTTGTGTTTTTTTCCTTTCAATAAATCAGGGGTACCAACAGATTTGTCCACTTGTGTATATGTATATATGTATGTACATATATAGATAAATATAAACATATATAAAAACTAGTTGACTCACCCAGGGTTTGCCCTGCAAGCACCCTGCCGTTCTCCCCGATCACAGCCCCCCGTGCGTGCCTCTCACTGGCATACTGGACGAAGGCGAACCCTTTGTGCACAGAGCAGCCCAGCACTCGGCCATATTTGGAAAATATGCCTTCTACATCAGATTTCTTCACCACCGCCGTGTTTAAGTTTCCAATAAACACTCGGGAGTTGATAGACTTGGGATCTGTCTTGTTTGTCACATTACTAGTCTGGACCTTGAGCGACATGTTGGGGAGGTGGTGTCTTGGGTGACAGATGAACGTATCACAGGACAGAGAGGCTGAAAGAGAAAAGATACCCGCTTTTAGTCACAGCAGAATGACAGCGAGAGTAAACAACTGTCAAACAATGTTTAATAAAACATAATTACTGCTAAAAAAAATGGCTAACCAGTTGATACAGTCCTAATGGACATGAATATCTGGTAAGACATGCAATATTTAAGGCTCTTTTTTATTAGGTTTAATTTAGATCAGTCTGTCTTCAAGAGGTAATTTAGAACATTTTAAAACAGAAAAAATGCAAAAGAAAACATTTTTGCAGGGCAAGTTTCCAGCCTCCAGCAACAGGATGGGGGATATTAGCTGAATGATAACCAGCAATGAAGCAGTTTTATAATTAAAATAATGGAACAAATCTCCAATGCAGAAATCTGAATTTATTTACATGTTTTTAATATTCCTGAATTACCTATGCTGGAATATTTCTTATCTATTCCTGTGTTTGAGAAATAAGTTAATGCAAATCATTTTTCTAGTGACCATTTATTAACTTTGATTTTTGCCTAGTTTTTAATGGACTAATGCCCATTTTTATACTAGTGGATTAAAGACCCAGACCCAGAGGTCTCCCTCTAAAGAGGCCTGCCTATGTAGCCCTCTAAAGGGAGCCACCCAGAAGGCATCCTGACGCCTAATGCATTAATGCACCAAACCCCCCACCCCATCACAGAGGAACGAGGGACCTACCCGCTCCAGCCGGTGAACAATACCTTCTTAACGACTGACTCTTAACAATCCTAGACAGGTTTCAGGTATTACAGGAGACAATCCCCCCTTAACGGCAATCCCCCCCCCTTTAACGACCAACCCCCAGAATCATAGGCCCCGTCCACACGAAGACGAACCCTGGCCTAAACGCACAAATTTTTCACCAAACCAGCCTCTCATCCACACGAAGCCGGCGTTTTCGGGGGTCTGTAAACGATCTTTTTTTTATTCAGCCTTCAGAGTGGGAAGATTCTGAAACACCGTTTTCGCGTTTCCATCTTTACGCTCTAACCGCATATTTTTTTTTACACGCATGCGTCATAGCGTCGCCTCTAAACACGCATGCGCGACACATCACAACAACAATGGCGCAGTTGCTGCTAATGCTACTCACCCTGCTGCCGGGCTTACAACAGAATCTTCTTCTTCTGAAATATCTCCAGGAAGAACAGAGCAATATCGACGACATAGTTCAGCGCCTGAATTTGACTGAACCACGAAAATGGACCCGCAGGGCAACCATGTATAAATATTAGTGCGCATGCCCAACATTTCGTCGCTTATTTTTGCTTTGGCACCACAGCGCCACTTACAGGCCTGGCATACATTTTGCAGCGTTTTCATGCATTAGTGTGGACGCTCACATTTATTTTACGTCTCCGTCTTTACGGCAAACGTTTTGGAAAATATCAGCGTTTCGTGTTCGTTTTGACTTCGTGTGGACGGGGCCATAGACAGGTTTCAGATATTACAGGCTAACGATGGAACCAAACGACCCATTCATCGGTTTCTATTTGCATGTTTCCAAGCGATACAAGGCTTTGTCTCTATAAAGACTCAAACTCACTGCGGATCCAGACATTTGAGTTGAGAAAGCTTCCTGGAGAGGTGGAGAAACGTCTTAAAATCTTGGAAACCAAGTCCAGTGGATATTTATTGAATTTTTTACGGAATGACTATGACCTGGATGACTGAGAACCTTCATCAGCACGTTAATATAAGTGTTTCTTGAGCTTCAGAGAAGATTACGCATTGTTGCCCTGTTTGTCGCTACACAGCGCCTTTCCCACAGTGCTTGGCACCGCTCAGTGAGTAGTAGCAGAGGGATAATTATACTCCTAGCTCAACTTAGCAGTCATTGTGTGGGGCTCGGATACTGGTGTATGGTTTGTTGGAGGAGCTGGGTGAAAACAACGCCTGGATGTATAGAGCAATTTAGTTTAGGAAAACACGGGAGGAAAGACGCCACCAAAGAGTCAACATATTCTCATTATCAGTTTGTATGAAATCGTACGAAAAGTTATGCACACTATTTTGTACGTTTAGGACGTTTTTCCTCAAAAAACCAGATCAGTGCGCATCCATGGATGGACGTCAAACTGGGAAAAACAGTGCAATAATCATTTATTCACATCTCTAACTACTTTGCTTGCTGCTTTGTATCTTAGGGTTAGGGTCAGGGTTAGGGCTAATTGTATTTTAAATTCTATGTTCTTGAAAAAAAAACGTCCAAAACGTACGAAATTATGGTGCAGAATACACTGAAAGAGTCTGCAGCTTCAAAATGGAAGGGAAGAACACAACGAATCTCAAGAGACGTCTGAGGACCCAACATGCTGCCATATGGAAGAAGGTAAAGAACGGGTGAGCCTGTAGTAGCAGGAACGGGTGTGTGTGCGCACCTGGGCACGCATGCATGTGGATATAGAAGTGGGTGTGCCTTCCTGTGCCTGTATCTGTCTCTCTCTCTGTCAGAAGAAAGATGTTCTACCGATACACTGGATATTAATCGTTTAAATTTCTTCCTCTGATCTAGATTCCTGACACAGTGACAGCGCAGCCAAATGCCAAAGAGCACAATGCCCTTAAGAACTCAATGGGAAAGTGGATTGGGCGTTCTGGCCTGCCTGCAAGGACCATTGAGGATGGAGACTTTGTGGATATGATGAAACAAGCTGAAAAAAAGTTCAATGTTTGCAGTGTGATATATGTTAAAAAAGAAAATCAGTGTTTGGAGAAGTTCTATTCTGCACAGTGTTGACTAAAATTACAAATATGACTTTGACTAAGACTAAAACGGATTTTCGTCGTTTAGACTAACACAAAATTTAAAAAAAGCTAACGAAATTTATGCTGCTTATCCCTCTACATCCTAGGAACTCTACATCCAGGGATTTTGGTAACAATCTGAACAACTCTGTGTAAAAAAAAAAAAAAAAAAATGGTGGCAGAGGTTTGCAAATATAAACATCTACAGAAATCTTCTGATCTCATTAATATAACCACCATCACCAGACTGAGAAAATAAATTAGTCACTCTTAGATGACATGAAGAAGTTGTAAACATGTGGGAAACAGCTTTTAAAATTTTTTTTATGGCGTGTAAACTTGCAGTCTGTGCCGCAGACACCCCTCTGGCATCGGACAGAATTTTGGAAACGGCATAGAGAATATAAAAGTATAAAATGCTGCAAACAATGTTGGTTTAACTGCTGTTTAAAAAAAAAAAAAAAAAAAAAAAAGATAGTTTAGGTTTTTAGGTAAATTTGTTTCTCTCACTTCATATATTAATTTATGCTCTTTATTCACTATAAATGTTTTCACTCAGCCTGTTTCACCTGCAAGGCCACACAATTCCCCTGCGTTGGAGTGTTTGTAGACCAGACCTACCTTCATCCCATAATAAATGAGATTCTTCCTCCAGGTTTATTCATAACATGTTACTGTTTAACCAAAGTGTCTGTAATTTGTTTTGACTCTGACTACTTTCCATTATTGTAAGTAAGGGGGAACAAACGCTGCCCAGATCAGAACAGGGCTGATTACCATGCGATTAGGTTAATATGATGAACTGTTTTCTTTTTCCAAAGATATAAAAATAAAGTGCTGACTGAGTGAAATCCATCAATCTCCGTTTATTTACCTGGAGCAAATAGTTAATAGATTTTTCCCGCTACCGGTTTCAACTTAATAACAATCTTAATTCCCAATTACATGTTTTGAATGTACCGGTAAAGTTAAAAAGAATAAAGCGATTATTTTTTTATGTGTTAACAGTGAAAAAGAAGGAAGCCATCTATTTTAAGAAAGATAAAAACAACCTTAAACAGAGGGAGTGGATTTTAGCTTTCAAAAACTTAAAATGCAGCAATTGAGTTGATCCCCTCTCGCTATTGCCGCAACCCAAACCCCTTGTAGGAAAACAGAAGACCTCGCCTGTTCAGCCGGGCCAACAATTCCCTTTAACGACCCTTTCAGAGACATAGACAGACCTCAAGGGAGAAATTCTCCGATTGTTAGTGGATCTCCAAAATCTTCTTGGAAGAGTTAAACTCCGTTCCTGTAGCTTTTAGACATGACTGCAAACCACTAGATTGAAAAGCAAGCAACCAAAACCACAATCTCTCTAAGCCGAGACCCAGAGGTTCCCAAACCAGATACTTCCATCTCTTCAACTACAAACTGAGATGTTGACCATGGATTGTTACGATTTTTTCCTTATTTGTCTTTCTTCTGCTTGCTGTCATCTATCTTTGAGATAATACTTCAATTTAATTCAGTTTATTTATATATATTCCTTAATTTCCGGAGGGAGTCTTCCCAAGAGATCAATAAAGTACTATCTAAGTCTATTTATATTCACGATTCACACAATTGACAACACGTCATCTCAAGACACTTTACAATTCAACCACATGATCCAGTCAAACTGATTCAAAGTTTTCTATTGAAAGAAAACCAGTTGATTGCATTGATTCATCGACTCGAAAGCAATCCCTTATATCAAGCATACTTGTAGCGACAGTGGAGAGGAAAAACTCCCTTTTAACAGGAAGAAACCTCCAGCAGAACCAGGCTCAGTGTGAGTGTCCATCTGCTGAGGCCGACTGGGGTTCAAGGAGACAGAAGCAGACATAGAAAAAGAAGCATAGATACAAAAGGCAACTGTAAAAGGTGGCCCCATCCAGGAAACACACAGCCAGGCAGACGAGCTCCCATGTCAGAGGATGAAGAGAGCACATCCAGTTAGTCACAGTCAGAGAAACAGGACTACACTGGAAAACAGGCCGAGCTCCAACATCTAGAAACAAAGATGTTGATGGCAGCAGCTCAGCTGATATTTCTCTCCAGGATGGAGTCACTAACAATTAACTAACAGATTCTGCAGAGTGGGAGAATAGAGATAGAATGAAGCAGAATGATGAAAAAGGGGTCCCTATGCCCTCCAGCAGTCTAAGCCTATATCTACATCACTCCTCACTTGTACTTTAAATTGCTCTTTTTGTAGCTC